AAGAATGCTTGGACATACTCAACTTAGATTTTTTTCATTTGCTTCTATTTAGTTTATTTATAAGATTATATTTTATTTATAAGATTAGCTTTCCTGTGATTGGATAGCCTGTGTGGTTGACAGCGACAGCCCTGGGCATGCAGGTGTGTCGCACGCGCGGCCAGTGCAGCGCTACGGTGCGGCGCGGCGCGGCGGGTCAGCCGCGAGTTAATTATCCATTACTGCACCACTTGCAGGCTTTGTTCAGCGTTCGATGACCCACGCATCTGTTCCTTTATTGTTTCTAACTGGGTCACTTGGAACCTTTCGGTATTTGTCGGTAAGTCAGGTAGGCGATGTTATAAGTACATGTTTGTTAATGTTAAGGAGAGTTAAGATGAGTGAGTTAACGTGTAACCAGATGTTCAACCTACTCTAATTGACGATTGCCAATTTGATAATATTACTAAAATTAATCTATTAGTTAATTTTATTCCGCAGCGTGTAATATTTTTTCATATAAGAGAGGGCAAACGACCTGACTGACTACAGCCGCCCATGAACTGGAGAATTGGCTTGATCGAGGTAGAACCATGCTCTCACAGAATACCAGATTAAAAGAGCAGAACATTGCTATTTCGAATAGTGAGTGTAGTTAACCTGGAGACCCTTTGTACCGGAAACAAGCAATTCCATCTTAATCCTCAGGAATGACATCGCTGAAAATCTGTATTTTGATTCTTAATCGAGGATATAAATGTAGATGTCTATGGGCCACAATATCCACTTACCATCAGGTGGACTGTGTGCCCACTTGTCACCCTTATTCTATATAATATCTATATATATTAAGGTTTAAATGCCCGTTGTCTGGACATCAGAGTGGTTAAACTAATTGTGCTAAACTTTTACGAACAGAGCAATTCCAGGACGTACGAGGCTTATATTTTATGCGAAAGACTTGAAATTTTAAAATAATAATAGATAAACCACATTAATCCTGTCCAGGCAAAACCAGGGCGGGCCTGGCTATTTAACAAGTGAAGTACCATTTAGTTATTTGGAAGTAAAGACTAGAAATGAGTTGGGGTTGACTCGAAGTTTAGGCCTAATCAGTTTGAATAGCCTATCATGCAGATGATGTCATGGGGATCATGGTAGAATAGGGGCAAAAAGTTCTAATTACACTCATAGGGGGTCAAAATGGCCAAAAATTAAAAATTCTTATTTTGGCTATAACTCCGCCTACTTCAGTCTTCGCTTCCCGCATCCCACTTGTTTACGAGTAGATAGCATTATCTGTGGCTATTTTATTGCCGTGTATTCGAATGTACAACAACAATGAACCGGGTTAGCGTGCTATGCCTTATAGAATGCACCCCCTTCGAAGTGCTCCAATCACGCCACTTCTGTGTGTACTTTGCGCCGTCAACTGTACTTAAATGTTTTACTTTATGCTTACGACTTGAATCGCAGTTTTAACCTAGTTCAAAAAGTTAAAGGCTCTATATTCGAGGCGTAAGTTTTTTTTTTAATGTAGGTTTAACGATTTCTCGGAAATGGATGAATCGATTTTATATGGGTTCTTCTTTTATTGAATAGGGTTCATACTTTAGGATTGGGCCCATATATATTTAAACACTAAGTTGATGAATTTTTTAATGTAAATATGACTTATGAACTTATGATATTCTTCAGATAAACAAAAGCGTAAATATATTAATGTTTACAAAACACAAAAAACCTATTTCAAAAAAAAATCCACATAGCTTCTGCAGTCGGCTTATTTTCTAGGTTCAAATATTTTTGACATTCTATCCGTACACCTCTTTAATATTTAACGAAACTACGTATCGAAAAATTTGCTTTTACGGATCGCGTTTAATTTTTCTTGTATCTTTTCCAACTTATTTTAAGACGTTTTGGTAGCTTTGCGGCACATATCACAGGTTCACAGGGGAACCGCGATGTTATGACGTTATGATTACTTAGTTACCGCGATCTACGAATGAAACTTTGGTTTGTTGTGTGCGCGTCCGCGAAGGATTCTGACAACAACACATGTTTCGGGCATAGCTAACACATATGTTACAAAACAACGTCTTTACAGCAGGGAACAGCGTGCAGAGAACCGGAGACCCTTATTAATGGAAATGAGGTATTCGATCTTAGTTCTCAAGGGCAACAACACATTTATATTTTGATTATTAATTGACGATGGATGTAGATATGTTTATGGGACACAAGATCCACTTATCATCAGGTAAATTGTGTGCTCTTTTGTCACTCATATTCAATACAAAATTTAAATAAAATTGACAAACGGACGGTTAGATCGCACGAAGTAATTAAATATTTTGAGCGTCAACGGACTCCATTACCTCGGATTGGTTCAACGTTCACCCTGTCCGCTATGTGGGCCGTTCATTCAACGCTTCGATTGGGAAATTTCAATTATAAACAGATTAACACTAGCAGTTCACTGCACGCGAGCCATAACTTCCATAATTCGCTCGTGACGAAATTTCAAATAAATTTCATACCGTTATTGAGATAAAACGTTAAAACTTTCTTACGATCCGATTGACCGAGTTTCACACGGCTATAATTTAAATTTTATCGATTAATTGGTTATTAAATGTTCCATGATATTTTATTGTAATAGTTTGCTAAGCGTGCGATCGGAGGGAATAGAAAGAATCAAAGACAAAATTCAAAGGAAACTAGGTGTTATTACAATAGTGAGTCGGTACTTCACGATGAGAGAGCTTCTTACAAATAAAACACATGTTCGGTGGTGCTGCAAAATACCACCTAGTAACCAATCTTGTCATCTTGTCACCACGAGCGCAGAGTAGCCAGCCTCTCAGTATTGACGGACGGTGGGTCCACCACTTTGTTGACGATATTCCACGCATTCAAACCAAAGGGTTTGCTTCAATTTTTAACAAATAGAAAAAAGAGTGGAATAGTAAGAAGCGAGCATGGGTTTTTGCGGCCGATTACAAACTGGTCCTTTTAAAGGCAAGAGTAAATAGGCTTATATTAAGTCAGTGCGATTTACCATTTAGAGTTTTTTTTTATACAGAATAAGGGTGACAAACAAGCACACAGTCCACCTGATGGTGAATGAAAGCTATGGCTTGTAGTCATCTAGATCTATCGTCAGATAAGGATCAAAATACAGATCCTTTCACCAGAAAACCAGATCCATTCATCCACCCAAGAGGACTAAACCTAAGCCTCGTTACCAGTAAATAGGTCTCGGGTTCTCTACACTCACCATACCAAACAAAGGGGCAATAAACTACTATTTTACGCTAGTATCCTGTAAGAGAATGGTACTTCTCCGGCCGAGCCGACCGGATAAATTAGCTGCAACGTGGCTCTACCACATTTAAATTCATGTCCACTTCTAATAAGTTAAAATAAATCAACGTGAAATAGATATTTTATTTATTTTTCTACTTTTTACTAAAAAAAATAGGTTAATTACTTCATCATATTGTTGTGTGCATAGTAAGATCATCATGACCCGGGACTGTATAATACCGCTGTAGATAAGAGTAACCCAAGCAGCACACATGCGTTATGAACATCAATTTACCTGCCCACGTAGAACTTATAGTTTTTTCAGAAGCGTATAAGTGTGTCGAAAAGAGTTTGTATCTTTATAAGACTAGTTTATGAGTTATTATACAGCTCAAGCTCTATAAAGTCCGCATTATGGGATCCAAGTAAGCTTAGGGTTCTTAATCAGAATATGAAAACTCTAGTATACAACCTTAAGTATTTTCCAACATATAAATCTGATTTTTTTAATTAAGCTGTATGGAATCTGTTTTTTGCATGTTGTCACTTGCTTATTACAACTCTAAGTGTTATTACAGTATCACTAAAATCTTATTTCTGTACAATGGTGTATGCAAACTCCCTTCTAAAATTTATTTTTATGGCGTAACTGTACACTCTTGTAAACACAGTAGTTTTATGACTTCTGTCTATGAGGGTGATATAAAACTAAAAAAAATAAATAACAGCCACAGTACAATTTAAATCTGTATAAGTGATAGAATATCGCCATTTTGCATGCTTTTCGTGTATACATAGTGAACAAAATTAATTAGTTATCAATAAGTGGAAAAAATATAACAATTTGGTGCAGTTAGCAGATCATGTTAAATTTAAATAAAAGTTATCCAACGGTGTTCCCAAGAAAAGCGTATTCATCTTTTTATACGTTTCTCTAAAGAGAATTATGTATATCATGTTGAAAAAACTGCTGAACAGCGTAAGTAATAAAAATATTCTATTATACAACCGATTAAAAACCAATGGCTGCATGATAGAATCCATAACATACATACATCTACTAAGACTATAAGACCATTGAAATACCGTTTAGGCTGTTTAGCAAATTGTCGCCATTTTAGGACCCATAAAAACAAAATTTAAAACATAATTTTAGGAATATTAGACATTAGTTTTAGCCTATACCGTTATTTTCAGTATGACTAATGATCACTGTGCCCAATGTGCCTTCATATCCATTCATTTAATATATTTTTTATTCTAACCTATACAACCAATATTTAGTTACCGTATTTAGTATTTCGTCGTTATATTATTTGGTTATTTTGCTGGAGCGGCAAGTTTTGATAGAAAACATTTATAAGTTTTCAGTAAATCTAATTTTAAACTTTCTGTTCACCAATTATCACCGTCATATTTCAACTCCAATCCGATTATAATATTAATATGTTAAATATAATTCTTTACGCTGACATTAAATGTCGCCATCATTCAACAAAGTATATTACTTTAGATTCCGTTCAAAACTCAATTTAGAATTCTTATCTTTAAAATTTACTTATAAGACAATATCTGGGCAGCTTCAAGGCAAGAATAAATAGGCTTTGGCCACTATAAAACAGTGGATTTACCGTCTAGGGCTTCATCACCACTTACCCGCAGATGGGATTGTGGTCAAGCACTTATTATAAGTAAAAAACGTTATAGACTACCTTGCAAGCGTACAGGGGGCGCTAGAATAGCGAGCGCAGATATCCATAGTAGGAACGCCATACTGTTACCGCACCATGCCGGATCCGCACCGCGCCGCACTGTTCCCGCGCCACTCCTGCAACACCTGGAAGCAAAGACAAATATAAATATCTTCAATTTCTCCTTTATCATCCAGTAAGAGTCCACTGGTGTACTTGAGCCTATCCCGTTGTAGGGAGGATATGCCTTAAACGACATGCGCGGATTGACGACCGCAGTGACAGACATTTGGGACCTTAGACACTGCTATGCACTAGATTATTATGCCCTAGGAATATAACCACTACCTTTAGTTATGACACTATCTATCGGAGATAATAAGATTTTTCTGTCACAATACGTGGTACATACATGTAGCCATGAGACAGCTATATTATTGTTGTATTAGCACGAATGGGTCGGCTCAATCGCGGAAGGACCACGCGTTCACAGAATACCAGCGTAAAAGAGCAGCTTATGCTGCTGTGTTTCGTATGGTGAGTGTAGAGAAACGAAACTTTTTACTGGTAACGAGGTATTAGTAGTGTAGTTGTACCACTTCTAGACCACCTGAGTCAGACGTGGTTTAACGACGTTCGTCGACACCCGATCCTAAAAAAAAAAAAAAAAAAAAAAAAAAAAAAAAAAAAAAAAAAAAGTTTTGGCATGCTCTGATCACGAATCCGCGGTCCATTTTTGTGTAGAATGCACGGTTCCGGAGATGTGTAGATCAATTAGCTAATATCTAATTGATATCCGGTAAGGGCCTCCACCGTCATTAGCGTCCCATTGTTCCTATTTCTATTGTTCTATTGTTCATTAATCACCTTCATTGCAGCGTGTGCGTCGACTATATCAGTGCTATTGTATTATATTTCTTTGTTCCTAATTATACAACGCTAATCTGAATCATCAATAAAACACACTACATAATTTTGTTACAATTTTTATTTATAAAATACAAAATCTTATTAATTATTATCTATAAAATAGGAGCGAAACATCTCATCCACTAAAATATCGTTGTACAATGTGTTCCTTGTAAATATACTCGTAAAACTATGTATTGAACATCCTTGAAACTTATATAGCAAATACATTAAGCAATATTCGCCACAAACTGAAGTCCACTCATTCTGAATCCTATCAACATTCCAGTTCCATCTTTTACAATTCCTTTTTAAAAACTCTAGATGATATCGTACAGGTGATCGTCCATATGAATCAAAATATTGACCGACGTCATTCGTATCGATATATAAAGCTACCCAATGTGACCCTGGTTTATCATCTGTATCCAAATTACATATTATATACGTTGGTACGTGGGTATACATAGGCAGTCTATTAGCCGCATAAACATTATTTTCTAGACTGGGGTGAATCTTTTTCAGATGTTGTTGTACATCTAGTGTATCCATGATATTACTGCTATTAGTAGATTATTACAGTACCTAGCTACTCAATGAATAACATAGGAATGGTCAATTATAGTGATTTCTACATATTAAATTGCATTTTTGTGTTATACAAATCGTACTTGAGTCATTGATCACCAAACAAAACACAATACGAAGAAATGTTGAGATAGGCAACGGAAATGTGAGATAAACTGATATGTTTCTAAATATTAAATTGCATTTTTGTGTTATACAAATCGTACTTGAGTCATTGATCACCAAACAAAACACAATACGAAGAAATGTTGAGATAGGCAACGGAAATGTGAGATAAACTGGTTGACGCATAAAGTAATTATCAACTCATTACGGAAATACTTTAGATTAGAATTTTTACGTACTGGTGGTATATAAGACCAACAAATGCAGTCATCGAGTTAGTGTACGGTCGTTTGGCTACAGTGGATCTATCAATAGTACATTTGTGTTACTTCAATACACCAAAGGCTATGGATGTAAGTGTTTATTCTATTGACTAAATTACTTTTTTTCTGTTATTTTCATGTGTGTGTATTATTTTATTTAAATATTGTGTATGTATATGATTAAGCCGTGGTAACTCAGATGGTTAGCGCTAGCTGTAAATTTCACAGTACGCGACCCGGGTTCGATCCCCGCCAGCACCAATTAAATTGTTAATAGCAATTTTAAGTGCTTATTACCACGTGCTTGGTGGTGAAGGAAAACATCGTGAGGAAACCTGCATGTCTGAGAAAATTTCGAAGGCATGTGAAGTTCGCCAACACACATTGAGGGAGCGCGGCGGACATTTCCTTGCTCTAAAACCCTCTCAGAAATGAGAGGAGGCCTATGTTCAGCAGTGGACTTTAATAGGCTGTAACTTTAACTTTTTTAACTTTTATGATTAAGTGTTAACAAATTGATATTAACATGATAACTGTGTTGTTGCAGAAATCATTGAGCTTCGATGAAGATACCTATAAACAGTATTACTACTCGCCACTCTCCCCTCAAGAAGAGAGTGATGACCTCGTCATTAATAATAACACATGCGATGGTGGAAAAAGAAAATCGCAATCGATTGATCATTTTTTTGAAGCTGAATCAAAAATAAAAAAGAGGAAGCTGTTATCATCAACCGTAGCACGAGCCGCTAGAGATGGTGTATCATACATTTCTACTAATTCTGACGACGGAGACCAAGCGACGCATCTCATCAAAATTGAAATGTACGATATGAAGAAGCTATCCAAGATTCCAACTACTGATCATTGGAAACATGCTTCCACGAGAATTAAATATTACGTAAAGACTAATAAGGATAGCATCTACGACAACACAAACGCCCTCGTATACAATATAACAAAGACAATAGCAGAAAGTGAAAAAGTTAAAAAATACTTTTTTAACAATGACAGTCATTAGCTGATCATTAGTGAATGTGATTCTGTTTACTTCAATTACAGGAAGACAAGAGCGGAAGGAAGAGATGAGTGTGGCATACGTGTACAAAACACATCATTGAATAACAAAACTACAACACTGAGTGGAGAAGAAAACGAGAAGAGTATGCAGTACTCAAGAGCTGAATATCCATTCTTCAGTTCAAAATCTAGCCGTTTGCTTAGTTTCGAAAACTGGCCTCTAGTTATGCGACAGAAACCTGAAGATCTTGCAGAAGCTGGTTTCTTTTATACTGGCCATGCAGACGGGACCAAGTGTTTCCATTGTGGTGGTGGTTTAAAAGATTGGGAAGATGATGATGATCCTTGGCAGCAGCATGTTCAGTGGTTTAGTCAGTGTGCTTATGTAAAATTTCAACTCGAACAGTGTTTTGTATTAGATTAAATAGAAGATTTATAAAGAAATAAAAAAAAATATATTGCATACAATTTGTTTTATTTAATTTTATAACGTTTCACATAGTTACATACACACAAAATGCATTACACATAACACATAAAATCTAACACACAACACATATTATAACCTTAACTACTATAGTCTACAGTAACATTTCTGTTTTTATCTATCTCAATAATATTATCAAACTCAGCATAAACTATACAGTTAATTGTTTGTATTAATGAGGATTCAAATCGTACTTCTATTCTTACACTACCATGCTTTATGAGATTCCAATGAGTTGATGAGTTAGCTGATAAATCAGGAGTTAAGTCAAATGCTAATAGACAGTAACCTTTGCCATACTGTTCACAAGAGATTCCATTTCCTTCATTAAGAAAGTGAATACCAGTTCCCGAGAATAGAGTATGATATGCTGATGTAAATATGCTATTATTAAAAGATGGTTGCAAAGCTTTTGAAGGTATTTGTTGACCATCAATATATAAGCTGAAAGAATTAATACCATAGTTTTCAAAGTTAAATGGATTTTTAGTAAGGGAACCATTAAATGCAGAATTGTTCACAAATCCAATTATACATCTTTTCGGTACCTGTCCTAAAAATATATTATCAAGAGTTTTTCCTTGAACACCTGAAGGAATTGTTAAAACTTTTACTTCAGCTCGAGTAATAGGATATTTAGCAGTGGTAGAAGCTAAAACTTTTTGATGTGCGAGTAATACACTTGGATTAATTCGTGCTCGTCGCACAATAAGAGTTGCGTCCGTAATGCAAACTTTAAACTTTACATCGTTTGACCCAACAATTAAATTAAAACTCTCTCTTGATCGAACCAATTTAACACTCATTTCAACACCATTAATTAAAAATTTATCTTGGTTAAAAATGTCACCGTGAAGATGACCAATCATTTCTATTTCCTTACTTTCACTAATCAATTCCTGTCTTTTAACAAATCCTATGTTTTTACCATCTGTAGAATCCATTTTTCCTGCTGTATCCTCATACCAAAGACTACAAGTAAGATGAGATTGTTTAGCAGCAGGGGCATAGTTTAAAAGGGTTTCCATGTATGCTCGATATGCATAGGTATTATTAGGTGGTGATACAAGTTTTTGGTTTAAATAAACATCAAGTTGACTAAAAAGTGAATGCAGCCAATTATTTACAGGTGCTACTATTGTAGTAGATACCAAGTTAGTTGAATCTTGATTTAATACTTTTGCCTTTATGTGGAGTAATGTATGAGACAAATCTATGTAGTCATCGCCGGTCCCAGGAACTTGAAACTCGATAGGTCCATCATCACCAAGAGATGAAATTGGTTTATAATGAATCCACAATCCATTTTCAATGCTAGTTTGTGTAGATGGTAGTGCAAACAAATCCAATTCTGACTTAACGCACTCGCAAGAATGATTATGAAGGAAAGACATATTTAGTTTGAAAATATATCTTTGATATTTTTTGGTTTTAGACAAAGTTTTTTCGCAGCTTTCACTTTAGCAGTTAATGGTGGAATGAACGATGTCAATCGTTTTCTTTTAGTTTTATACCCAGATCCAGTCATGTTAAATTGATCAATTTTCTCATCAGCCTTTCGTTTTAAATTCGTACTAACTTGCTTTAGACGATCTTTTATTGAGGCTTCCATAGGACGGGCTTGAACCATATCCGATAAAAGTCCTACTCCAGCGCTTAATGCCTCCTTACCAATCACTCGAGCACCACTTGAAAGTAAAGGTAAAACTG